TAATAGGTCCTTAATAAATGTTTGTCATGTTGGAAGGAAGCTAGGATTGAAATCCAGCTGGGAATGTGGCTTTTTTGGTGCATCTAGAAGGCAGAATACAAGAGAACAGGTGTGTAGAAGAGTGAATTGGAAGAAGGCAGAGGAGAAGTGGGGTCACTGAAAAGCAGGTCATCTTCAAGCCAATGCTGCAACCATTTCCAGCCAAAACTGTGAATTCACTTATGTGGTGACAGTGGATAAGTGGTAAATAATGGGTGGGGCTTGGAGTCAGAAAGACCTTGAGTTCAAATCCAGCCTCAAAAACTTACTAGCTATATGACCTTGGGCAAGTCACTTCACCTCTGTTTTGCCTCAGTTTCCTTATCTGCAAAATGGAGATAATAATAGCATCTGCCTCCCATGGTTGTTGTGAGGATCAAAAGAGATATTTTTAAAGCACTTGGGAGAGTGCCTGGAATATAGTAGGTGCTATATAAATGCTAGTGATGATGATGATGATGATGATGATGCATCAGAGTTCTTAGCCTAGCCTTGGTGGTGCTTTTTAATTGCTGTTTAGTCATTTCAGACCTGCCCACCTCTCCATGAGCCCATTTTGGGTTTTCTTGGCAAAGATACTAGAGTGATTTGCCATTTCCTTCTTCAGCTCATTTTACAGATGAGGAAACTGAAGAAAACAAGATAAAGTGACTTGCCCAGGGTCACACAGCTAATAAGTGTTTGAGGCCAGATTTGAACTCAGGAAGATAAGTCTTCCTGAATCCAGGAACCACCTAGCTATAGGAAAATTAAGAGAGGCATGTGGAGATCTGGCCAGCTCTCTCATTTTACAGAGGAGACTGAAGCTCACAGAGGTTAAATAACTTGCCCAAGGTCACATAGGTAGTAAATTTCAGAGCCAGGATTTAAATCCAGGTCTTTGACTAAAAAGCCAATGCTATTTGGCCCTACTCTTTATACAAATGCTTATTCTTTGCTACCTTTGAAATAAAGCAGAAGGATTTTTACTTTATGCCCTTACCCCTGTGGGATTTACAGCCTCCTGAAAAGACTTGAAATCCTTGCTAAGTTCAACATGTGCGAACTTGGGGTTGTCATTTTAGACTTTGCCTGGCCTCAGTTTCCTCATTTTAAAAATGAGTTCTCTATTCTTATTCTCTATTCTACGAACCTATGACAGTTTAACTTGTAGATCTGCTCTTTAGTACCTCTTGTGACCTTGGACAAAGAATTTACTGTCTCTGGGACTCCAGTACTTCCTCTGAATACTGAGTGGAGATAGTGAAGCAGAATCCTGGATATGTTATAGTAGAGATTACTTTTGTATATGGGCTGGACTAGGTTATTGATGCAGTCTTTTGTAATTCTCACATTCTGTGATTCTGTAATCCCGTGACTAAATGACCTTAAAGGTCCTTTTCCATTCTTAATCTATGATTTTATAAATTGTCAGCAATCAGAACCTCTTAGAAGGGACAGCTCAAGGAGGAGCTTTTGCTGAAGGAGGGTGAGCTTCAGGTGCTGGCCACTAGGTGGCAGTAAGTGGGCAGCCTTTGTAGCCTGCTTGACTTGTTTACTGTTTCTGGAAATCGCTAGTAACCTTGTAAATTGCCTTGCTCTCCAACCATGCCAAGTCACTTTGAAAGAACAAGGCTTTGCTGTTTTAATTCCCAACATTAATAATACAAATGGAAGAGAAACGCGAGAACCAAAGATCTTCCCTCTGTGGTTGCCCCAGACGTGAAACAGAGACATTGAATCCAAGGCTTCCCTCACTCATGGAATAGCCAAGATTAACTTCTGGGACTCTCAATTCTTTGTGCAGCTCAGGTGGGTAGGGTACTTTTACTCTTTCAAAAGCAGATATCATTTAATGGAAAGAAAAGTCTCAGGAGAAAAAATCAGAGCAACAACAGTAGTTGTTTTCCCCCTTATCTGCCAATCCTTAGCATGGGTGTGTGCCTGTCAGTGCAGCTGAAGCTGGGTCTTACCCTCTTACTTTCTGTCATAAATAGATAGGGTCTAGTCAAACACCTTTCCCTCTCTCTTCTCATTACGACCCAGGTATAGCATCACTCCTGAAATCTACTATTTTACACTCAGTGTGCCATCCATATCATTTTTTTTAAACTGCACCTTGATTTTTAAAAATTCACATTTTAAATTATTTCCCAGTGATACCAGCTCCATCAACAACAAGAGAACTTTCTTTTAGGGTTGAAATGAGATGTGGCAAGGTTTGAGGTGTGAGTTTGGCAATACCACTCACTATAGATGGCATGCCATGCAAGTTCAACTCAATTAAATTCAACAAGCATTTATTATGTCTCTGCTATGTGTCTGGAACTGTACTAGACAGGGGATAAAAATGTAAAAAAAAAACTTAGACAAACTCAGTCTTCAAGTAACTTATATTCCAACAGAGCAGGGTGGTTTGTTTGTTTGTTTGTTTTTTTAGCCATTTTTGTTGTTATGGATCCCTGGTGAAGCCTTTGGACCCCTTCTCAGAATAACATTTTGTTTCCTTAGTCACAATTAAAGGCGATGTTAAATTTCATTTAGAGGTTAGTGAAGATCAACATGTAATTTTCCCTATACAAATTGATGGACTCCCTGAAATCTGTGCATAGACCAAGGGGTCTGTGACCCCTTCAGAGTAAGAGACCCTGCTGGGGTTCTTACCCTCAGATAACTCAAACAGTGGGATGATGACCAGGAGAGGGAATTTTGGTCCAAGAAATCACAGAATTTGTGAGAAGAATCACTGGGTAGTAGATTGTCATGCTCTTTCCAGCATCAATGTTAATATGGATTTGATGCTCACTCACTGGGCAAGAGCACGGGGGTGGTAGGGAAAATGGCAAGACACCAGTGTTGGGTAGAACCTAGGTTCTTGATGGGTAGTTAGCTGTGAAGCCTCGTCTGGGGTCAGCTAGATCTAGCGGGTTGGATTAAATGTTCACTCATCCATTGGCCAATCAGGACAGATCAACCCTGAGTGTGGAAGTGCAGGGATGATCCCAAGCTGGGTGAAGTGATTTAATTGGGTAGGGAGGCATTATCTTTCTGGAAGTCTAAGTATTGAAGAATGTTCTTCCTAGAGGGGATAAGGGAGCAGATACAGGTCTGATGATCAGATACCCATCCTGAGTAGGCCAAGGTATGCTGTTGAATGGCTGGACGGAGTAGAAACAATATGGTTTAAAAGAATAACCACAATGCACGAAGGATAATGACAGATACTGTGAAGTTTGTAGTATACGCAAACCAAGAAAGGTGCCAGCAACAAGACTTGTGGCTTTGGCTCTCTGAGACCCAGCAGACACAGTGGAAGCTATTAAATGTGGCCAGACTTTGTGGGACGATATCTGTGTCTGGTATATGTCCCAGAAAGGGTATGACAATTCCCAAGGAAAAAGGCTAGGCTAGAAGGGGCGAGGGCCACACTGTGTATTAGGAATGTATCCTTATGTAAGGAAATCCAAGACCCAGAAGAGAGGAGGGTGATAAAAAGGATTTGGATGAAGAACATTTGGAGTCAGAGAAGGAAACTCAATGGTCATAGAAGCATACTATAGACCGCTTGGTCATAAAGAAGAAATGGATGAGGAATCTGGAAGATAGATCACAAATCTGATTTTCTATGTGCTAGCGAATATAGTGACAAAAATCATTATTTTTTTCTCTCACACACAATTTCAAGAGGGAAAGGACACTAATAGAGAATTAAGAGAGGCCTCATGTAGGAGGTGTCACATGGGATATTACTGAAGGTCTTAATTGATCTAAAGATAAAAGGGATTTTAGAAATCATCTGGTCTAATTCATTCATTTGATAGATCAGAAAACTGGGTCTTAGAGAGGTCACATGACTTTCCCAAGATTACACAAGAAGAAAATGGCAGAGATAGAAATCAAACTATGGTTCCCAACTCAGTCCTCTTTCTACTGCACAGTCTAACCAGCTATGTTTTGAAGGGGAGCAAAGGATTTTCAGAGATGAAAGTGAACAGACAGTACTTCCAGACATGGTCTTAGACATGGCAGCAAAAAGACAAAGGCTAGCATTATGAAATGGAATATCAGGTATAAGGTACAACTAGCTAGCAGTCCAGTTTTGTAGGAATAAAAAGTCTTTGCTAGTAGTTGAAGGTACTAGGGACATTTAGGCTAGGAAAGGCAAAAAAAAAAAAAAAAAGAAAAACTTAGTGGAGCCTGAATGTAATATTTATCATCTTGTAATTACATTTGTAATTTTATAATATTTGAAAGGCTTATGGGAAAGAAATATGATTTATTCTATTTGGTCTCAGAAATTAGAATTAGGATCAATAGGTAGAAATTTTGAGTGACAGACTTGGGCTCATTAAAATGCTATTCTAAAATGCTACAGAGACTTCTAGGTAGCCATGGGTTCTTGAAAGCCATCCTGCCAGATAAATAATGGGCCCTCGTGGGTACTGCCTGGATAGACTTCAAGAATGGACCCAGCAATGAATCATTTGTATGTATTCTGAGGACTGACATACTGAAAGAGCCAAGCTTGGAGAGACTCTTAACCAGCATGGTTGTAGGGTGATGAATTTTTCAGCCATTTCAGGTCTTGAAGGACATCTAAGAAGATCATAAATTCGTAGGTTTAGAGCAAAATATTAGGGAAAAAACCAAGCTCATAAATCCCCAGAACTTGGGGATGTGGATGTGAATATGACTGTAGGCAAGACAGATTATGAAGGACAAGCCAAGATGCTGTTAGAATTAATGGAAAACTGGAAATGGAAAAATGGAATTCCCTGGAATATGGGGATTTATGAACTCCCCCCCATTATTTTGATAACTTCATTTCAGTATAATTGGATTTCTTGGCAATCCTTTGTATTTTATTTATACAGTTCAAAGCATTATTCTGAGAAGGGGTCAATAGGTTTTCCTCGTCTCCAAAGGGATCCAAGACACAAAAAAGTTAAGAACATTTGATCTATTCTAACCCCTTAATTTCTTAGTTGAGAAAACTGAGCTTGAGAGAAGTTTAGCAGCTTGTTCGTACTGGGGCAGAGCAATGCATCTCTGGTGAGTCACTTTTTTTTGGTAGCTTCCTTTCTCTGTGTCTCTGTGTCACCTTGTTTTGTGTCCTTGGGGAAAGCCTCATACTTACCGTGCTGTAAATTGCCTGAAAACTTAGGTACAAAGTGCCTCAAAAAGCTTGACAATGTTTATTGTGTATCACAAGTCCAGTCATAACTGTGTCCTTAACAATGCCTTCTGAGGTCTCTTTTCTCTCGGGCGTGCCTATGTCAGAGATCACAGGACTCATGCAATTCATGATTATGGAACATTCCTAGCTGGACCTTGACGATGAATAATCATACTTGGGTGGGATCAAACGCAAAGTGACTGCATGTGACTGTAGCCCAATCACTTTCAAGAATACTTGGGATATTGCCATGGTGAAAACATCAGATGTGTTTGTTTTTCTATTCTCCCTCTCACCATACTCTGGGATAGAGATAGCATAAAGACTGCCACAGGTTGAAATCGAGTCTCTGGGGTGTATCTAGCGGGCAGAGAGCAGTTTGGCTGGAGTGCATGGTGAGTGGAGAATAGTAACAGGAGAAAAGGTTGGAAAGGTGCCACATTGTGGAGGATCTTGAATGTCAGGCAGATGAATATTGCTAGGAAACATGGAGCTGTTCAAGCAATTATTGAGCACTTAGTGTTTAATTGATGAAGTAACATGGCTCCATCTTGGGAATCTCTTAACCTAAATTATAAATGACATAAAAGCTCAAGAAAGACAAATATAGCCTTGGCATTTTTTTTTCATGGATGAGACTATTGTTAGAAAGGGAGGGAAGTAAAGTTGGACGATCTCTGGATTTGGATGAGCCGGAAGACTTGGGTTCAAGGCCTGACACTGCAGTCTACTAACTGTGTTCTTGGGCCACTTCCCCTCCTTTTGTCTTATTTTCCTGATCTGTAAAAGTCAGGGCCAGAACTAGAAGAGGTCCTCCAAGTTGAGGATCCTTAGTCCTGCTCAGTCCTTAGTCATTATTCCTTAAATTACTCTCTATTTTTCTACTTTGTGCTCATGTTGTATCCCTCCTCACCCCCCAGTAGAACACATGTTTCTTTGCCTTTATGTTTTAGTTGCTACTAAAAACCATCAAACTGTATTTTCTTTTCCTTCCTTACTCCTTGTTCAAACTCTCAGGATAATAACACTTTATTGTGGGTTAGTGGTTTGTAGCTTGCAAAACACTTTCATATCCTTTGCTTCATTTCATGCTTACAGCAACCCTGTGCAAGAAGCATACTTAAACATGACTACATGGTATCATGGGATAGCCCCTAGGATAAAATATAAAATCCTTAGTGGGGCTTTTGAAGGCTTCTGCAATATAGCACTTATCCACTTTTCCATTTTTTTCCCTATGACTCTCCTTCATGCATACTTTCAGCTCCAGTTGAGTTGACCCACTCGCCATTTCTTATCTATGACATTCTATCTCCTGCCTTTGCACAGATCATCCCCCATGTATAGAATGGGCTATCTCCTACCTTCCTTTGGGGTAGAACTCAGGGGCCACCTCCTACATAAGGCCTTTCTGGAAGCCCCAGTTTTTTGTGTTCTCATCCATTTTAATTTTTTTGTGAAACTTTTCATATGCTTTGCTGTAATTTAACTGTGTGCATGTTGTAAGCTCCAGTAGGATGTAGGCCTCTTGAAAGCAGTTTCTACTTCAAATCCTTTGCAATTCTTATCCTGTGTGGACTTTCTCCAAGCCCTTGTCTAGACCTGCAAGTGTTATCATCCCCATTTTATAGATGAGGAAAACTGATATCTGGGGGAGGGAGATTGCTTGTATACCATCACACAGCTAAGGAAGTGTTATAATTTGGGCCCAAAATCATGTGCTCTGACTCCCAGTCCTTATTTCCACTACTCTATATAGAAATGATGATGGAGCCAGCTTGAACCAACTGTTATATTTCCATTATGAGTATTTACATCTTGGAAACTGGCAGATACTGCAAATTAGGGCTTATTTTGTTGATTGTCTAGGCTTAAGAAAGTGGTGAACAAAATGTTAATGGCAGATTAAACTTAAAAGTTGTTTTTGATTCAGTTATTTTTGGGGAGATCTGGTTGTTAAACATTTACCAACAACCCCCTGGTTGTAGGACTAGGATATGTTTCCTTTTTATGCTGAGTCTGCTGCTCTAGAGGTGTCCAAAAGTAGAGTGAGTGACCTGTGGAGTAGTGTATTCCTCTTCATGGACATTCTTGGAGCAGAGGCTTGTCTGGTATGGTGGGGAGTGAACTCTTTTTCAGTATAGCTTGGGCCAGAGGGTTACTGAAATTCTTTCCAATTCTGACATTCTGTGCTTCCACTCTAACAACAGGATGTTCTAGTGAAGCCTTAACTCTCAAAGCTGTAAGATTATAACACACAGTGACATAGACACACATGTATATAATACTTATTTATTATGATGCATATATTTTATAATACACATATTTATGATATATACATTATGATGCAGAAGGCTATAGTGATATTTTATTTTATGCATATATAATATGTAACATATTATATAATCAGTATGTAACATATATAAAATATGTTACATAACCCATTATACAATATAAAACATATAATAAATTATATATAATTATATTATTTAACATGTATTATATTAATATTATTTATAAATATTGTATCATATATACTATAGTACACATATAATATATAGCCTATATAATATTATAAATAATATATTAATTCTATATTAATATGTAGATAATGATATATAATACATTATGTAATAAATAATGTATTAATATAGAATTACATATAATATTAACTATACACAGTAACATTATACATGCATATCCATATATACTCATACATATATACATTTTCCTCTTCATTGATCCCAAATGGGTAGGAAATTAATTGATCATTCTAGTTAAATTGAATTTTTTGATTTAGGAAAAATTACTATCTGTTCCACATTCGAGAGGAAGCATGATATATTGAAGAAAGGGATGATCTGAGACTAAGGAAGTTCTGAATTCAATTCCTACCTTTAACCCATACTAGCTATGAGCTAATAGCTAGTGGCTTAGTGGGTGGAGCACTAGGCCTGGAGTTAGAAAGACCCGAGTTCAAATCTAGTCTTAGATACTTACTAGCCATGTGACATTGGGCAAGCCACTTAACTTCTATCTACCTCAGTTTCCTCAACTGTAAAATGCGGATGATAATAGCACCTACTTTTCTAGGTTGTTGTGAGGCTCAAAGGAGATAATATTTGTAAAGTGCTTATCACAGTGCCTGACACACAGTAGAAACTATATAAATGCTATTCCTGCTAGTATTCCTACTAATATTATCACTATTACTGCTACCATCACCACCACTTCTACTATTACTGCTAATACTATTCCTCCTCCTCCTCCTATTCCTATGATTACTACTACTAAGTACTATTACTATTAGTAGTACTGTTCCTACTACTACTATTCCTGTTGCTGCTACTACTACTATTATTATTCCTATTATTCTACTATTATTCCTACTACTTCTACTATTACTATTGCTACTATTTCAACATGGACAAATCACTTAACCTCTCTGTTCCCCCAGGCAATGCTCCAAGATTGTAAACTACGTATGAGTTGCTGATCTTCCTCAGTGGAAGGAGTTTCAACATGAGGAAATTCCCTACAACTGTGAAATAAGAGGTCTGACAAAAACCCAACAATTCCCATAGTCATACTCGAATTGCTGGTTTTCTAATATCGAAACAGAATAACATACACATAATGCTAAAACTTTTTTTTTAATGATTCAGAAGGAACTGTAGGACATTGGAGTGCATTAAAATCACCATTCTGAAAATCAGTCCTGAGATCAGAGTTCAAAAGAACAATAGAGACACATAATTTCATTCATATTATCTATGAAGAAATCAGCCCAACAAAGTAAAGCCGCTTTCCCAAGGTTTCATAGGTGATAAAAAGTAGACCTGAAATTCAAAAAGAAGACTTTGATAACAAAATCCTTATAAAAATGTGCACAGTCAGGTAAAAAAACAAAAACAACAGCTCCAAGATGTCCGTGTCCAGAAATGTGTGCTTCATTCTGCATCTTAAATCTCTTGCCACTGTCTAGAAGTGGGTGGCTGAGTTCACTAGGAGGAATCATCTGGAATCAGATTGGCCATTGCATTTATCTGAGTTCTTAAGTCTTTAAGTACTTTTTAGGAAGTCTGCGGGATTAAGATGAGATGATCTTCTATCTCTAAAATTTTAGGTTCTCATGGGACAGCCTCCTGCTTGATCTTCTTTTCTTCAGTCTACTCTTGTTCCAGACATCTTCCAAGTGGCATATCTATGCTCCAGAACCTTCATTGACTCCCTATTGCCTTCTCAGTGGGATGGTACTGGATCTGTGATTTCATTGGTATGGAAACTCTTGATGAAGAAGCTTCTTCTGTTGAGGAATATTGGTATGTTCTCTGCATTTTATACTAAGTGAAGTGATCTACGGTCAAACACAGCTGGTATGTGTGAGATATAGAACTTTGACCCAGCTCTGAGGACTACTCTATGTTGATTGCCTCAATCTGCTGCTGAATAAAGCATACATTTCTGACCCTGCCATTCAAGACCCTTTGTAATCTGGTTTCAATCTACCTCTCAAATCGAGGGAGCTGGTGGCATAGTGAATCTGGAAGTCAGGAAAATTTGAGTTCACATTCTGCTTCAGACACTAGCTATGTGATTCTGGGCAAGTCACCTAACCTCAGTTTACCTTAGTTTCCTCAATTGTAAAATGGGGATAATAACAGAACCTACCTCCCAGGGTTGTTGTGAGGATCAAATGAGATAATATTTTAAAACAAACTCTTAGTACTCTGTCTGACACATAGTAGACACTATATAAACATTTATTCCCTTCCCTCCCCCTTATCTCATTCTAGTCGTCTTCGTGTATTTTGTATTCTGGTCAAATTGGACTTCTCTCTGTTCCTTATTCTATTTTGGTCTTGGTCTGCCTCTGAGCTTTAGGTCACACTGTTCCCCAGGCCTGGAATGAATTCTTTCTCTCGTCTCATGCTGTTCAGTGGCAATCTCTCCCATCCTTGAAGGCCTACCTCCTCTATAAAACCTTCTAAAGCAGAGCTGAATGTGATTGTTTTCTTCTCACATTTCTCATAGGATGCTGTCTAGACCTTTCCATCATTCTCATCTCATTATCCCATGTATCACAAGTTGTGTCCTTGCTTTTTCTAGTGGATTACAGTGCCTCTGTTAGATCTATTTTTGACTTCCCCCTATCACTATGCATTACACATAGTAGGTGTTTCCGAACAGTTAGATGAATGGCTGAATGAATAAACACATCCGCAGTTCATATAAAATCCACAACAAATGCTTCTTGGCTTCACTTGTCTGGCGGGAATATATGTTATCTCATTTGAACCTAACAATGGCCCCATGACATAGGTGCTATTAAACTCATCTTACATCTGAGGAAACTGAGGCTTAGCAAAGTGATTAACTCAGGACTATAGATTAGAGGATCATAGATTTGGAAGTGGAAAGGACCTAAGAGATCATCAAGTCCAACCTCCTAATTTTACAGATGGAGAAATTGAGGCCAAGGGAGATTATATAACTTGCCTACTGATGAGCAGATGACATTGGGTATATGTTACAATATTAATTTACATGACTGGTGAGTTTTTAAGGTAACATTCAAACTCAGGCCTTCACACTCTAAGGCCTGTGCTTTATCTACTATGTCATACTGTTTAAAGATTGGTTCAATAGGACTTTAGGTGCAGGCAGGAAACTCTTACCACTCCAAAGACCTCCTAAGTTATTTGAAGAAAGAAATGGCACTAGGCTTAGTGCTTCCCCCCCCCCCTTATTTAATTTATCTGATGAGCAGATAAAACTTGACATGTGTACAACTACCATGTATACTTGATTTTACCTATTACTCATTAACAAACTCCATATAAATATGACAGCATTTTAAAATGCATTGTAGATAATTAAATGTAAGCAATGTTGTTGTTGTTAATAACAACAGTGAGGACACAGATTTGTTTGAGGTGGAGGAGGATAAGGATATACAAAAAGAGACATGAGTCACCATGATGGAATGGATAGTATGCCTGAATTTGAGTCAAGAAGACAAGGGTTCAAACTGGATCTCTGACACTTTTCTAGGTAGCCATTAGCAGAGATTATCTGAGCCCTAACTCTGTTATCCACTGAATGGGGGTAATAATACTCATGTTACCTTCCTCCTGGACTTGTTTTTAAGTGAAAAGAAAAGAATACATGCAAATTGCTCTGCAAACTATTAAATGCTACATAAACATCAGTATTATGACAAATTGATATGTCCCAGTAAGCAGAGAATCACCAATAATGTGATGCTAATGGGAACTAGGAAAGCAGAGGCAGACATCCAATGGGGGCTTTCTTTCTGCAAGAAGGTTAGGATGAAAGAATCAAACTAATTAAGAAGGTCATGACTGGCCTCTGAAAACTGGCTGTTTACAGCCTTCTGTCTATAGTATCTGGCAAAGAGATATCCATAAGATCAAGGCCAGACAGCTGGAAGAACAGAACTAATTTCACCCACATATGTACTGTCAGACTTTAGGCTTGGCTAATCCCTGCGTGGTTTATTTACATATCTGGGGGATTAGAGCTGTCAGAGGAGCAAAGACACAAATGAGGCCATTTCCCAGCCGGCAGTATTCCCCAGAGGTTAGATATGGCTGTGTATGTGTGTGTGTGTGTGTGTGTGTGTGTGTGTGTGTGTGTGTGTGTGTATGTGTGTGTGTATGTCGCTTATGCCACACCAAGATTTTTATTGGTTGAAAATTTTGGAAGGGGAGAAGAGGAAGAAGTTAATGGAGGTTTCAGTGGAAACTCTCAAAGTGAGAGGAAGAGAATAAGACCTTCTTTGCTTCCCACTAGGGAGTCTGATTAGCCAGGAATTGAGTGATATAATGGAAGGGGTACTAGTGTTAGGGTCCTTAGACCTAAGATCCAGTTACAGCTCTGCATGTTTCTTCTTGTGAAATACACACACACACACACACACACACACACACATGCACCCCTATTACCAACACAAAACATCACTTAAGTTTATTGCAAATGTAACAGCAATGTCATGTTAAAATTGAAACTTCTTTTGAAATATTAGAAAAAAATAGTTTTTTCTTTCTGGGCCTCAGTTTCTTTATCTGTAAAATGAGACAGGCTTGGATCAGGATTTCTTAACTTTTTTGTATGTGTGTTATGGTCCCCTTTAACAGTTGTTGAGGCCTATGTACCCCCTTTCATAAAAATTTTAAATGTATAAGATTTCAAAGGAAACCAATTTTATTGAAATAAAGCTTTATTTTTTCTTATCCAAGTCCATGGAGCTTAAGAACTCCCAAATTATATGGTGTCTAAGACCCGTTACAGGTCTGTATCCTGTAATCTCCTAAGGGTCTCAAGAGCAGCAAGTCTTAAGGCTTCAGTTTAGAAGTTCTGAGATTGGAGCAGGAGACTCTACTCTCTGAGGAAAGCCGTCAGCTTTGTTTTGTTTTGTCCTCAACTAAAAAAAAGGGGCCCTAGCGGATGGGTGGAGAACTGGAGGGAAGGGCTCCAGGCAGAAGACTCCATCACTCGGGAGTCAAGACAGATTGGTCAGGAAAAGGAGGTGTCAGACAACATAGATCTGGGTTTCCAGCACCAGGGAGAGTTCCCATTTAACCATTGACTGCCAAGAGGTCCTGGGCAACTACTAATCTTATCATAGCTCAAATTTTCTTATGGCTAGATCTGTCCCCTAAAAGGGCTACTGCCCTGCTGGAGGCCCTTGTTTCCTTGGGGGGAGAAGGCAGGTTTTTGATCTACCTTAGGAGTCCGTAGTACCTGTGTCTGACAATGGAGCCTAAATTTCAGCTAAGATCTTCCCCCTTATGCTAGTGCCTTTCACATGAGATCATCTCCAATTTAGTCTATATAAATATATTTTTGTTTATAGTTGTTTGCATGCTGTCTCCCTCATTAGACTGTGAGCTTCTTGAGGACAGCAGCTATTCTTTGCCATTCTTTGCATCCTCAAAACTTAGCAGAGTAACAAATGCTTGTTAGCTTGAATTTATATGGCCACATCTTCCAGGACAGTTTGGGGACTTATGGGGAGGATTAAGAGTTCCTCTGAGTTCTGTGAGGCCTGGTCCCTTGGGGGAAGCCTCTAGCCCCTCAACCTCAGTGACTTCTGTCACAAAAATGGCCCTTTCTGGAGCAGATGCAGTGTCCATTCCCTGCAGGGAAATTCAGACCTAGCCTCCCAGGTCATTGTCCAGATAGACTCACTTTTCTATCTTAGTAGCCTTGGTCCTGGACCAATATTTACAATGATCTCACCTGTTGTTATATAATAGCTAAACTCAGAAACCAAGGAAATTTATTTTAACTACACAGATCTATGATGCGCCATTTTAAAGCACATTGTCAACAGCATACCAAAGACACTTTAACTCCAGATGGACAACATTTTTGGATGTTGGAAGTTCAATGGGTCCCTTTAACAATCTATGAAGTCATTTGTGATTCCCGGCTAAGGATTTTCCTCATTCTGTGGTCTGCTGACTGCAGTGCTAGTGTTTCTTACTTCCATGCTGTCTGGTCTGCTCAGTGCTGTTAGTTTCCCAGTACTCTTCAATTGCCAAGCTCTCAAAAATTATCAGATTCTGTTACCTAGTCTCCTGGATTAGACATTTTTTGTTGTTGTTGTTGATGGGGACACGTGTCTTTTGGACTATTTATTTGTAGGGTACAGCATCTGCCTCCAGATACTCTAGACATAACTGGAAGGAGAATTTATCTGCATGGTTTAGCCAATGTAAGGTCAGTCTAGAAAAAAAACAGATTATTAAAGGCTTCAATTCCAAACAGGTATTTATATTTTATGTTAGAAGTAGCTGAATGTTACTGAAACTCCCTGACCAAGACAGTGCCATAGTTTAACCTGTGTTTTAGAAATATTACTTTGGCTATTGTGGGGTTGATGGGTTGCACAGAGTAGCTGTTGGAAGCAGGGAGGCTATTACAGTAGTACAGGCGAGAGGTGATGAAGGTCGGAACTTGGGTGGTTATGATGTAAGTAGAGACAAGACAAATGTGAGAGTTTGTGGAAGTAGAATTGACAGGACTTAGCAACTGCTTGGATATGGGTGATGGAGAAGAATTAATATGGCTACCACTGGTAATGCTTTGTAATGGTCAGGTGTTTAATGCAATTAGGCTGATGTCCTCTGTGTACAAGAGCATTTGATGAGCCTCACCCTGGGCATCACAGGACATCCTTCAAGCCACTGAAGTGCACCTTGGGTGAGCAGATAGCTTCCTGTTTTCTCAGCAGAGCATTAAGCAAAGTCATCTCCATGGTCACATCTGTCCTAGCATCTTGTACCATTTTAATGCCTTGTTAGAGGAGATCTTTGAAAGCTTCAGACTATTTAAAGTTCAAGAAATGAAAACTGTACATCTCCTTTGAGATGGTCACTGTGTTAGGTAATGTAAGGGATATAAATACAGACCTTTTAATGCAAATGTTAAGTAGGTTTCTCATGAACATGTTTTTTAAAGGCAAAAATGCTGGATTTGGGATGGAGAACCTGAGTTCAAATCCTGACTTAGCTGT